TAACTATTAATAAAAGCATGTCTGAAAACAAAGCACTTCTAGTTACAGAATTTTTATGCAAAATCAGGGTTTGTGCAGGTTTCTTCAATACAAATTTAAGACGTTTTAAAACCATTATGAATAAAATTTTAGACTTATACATATATAGCCTGGTTACTTTTGTAAATAGTTTTTGTATTAATGGGAAATCATGTAAAGGCATGTGATGCTTTATTTTTCTTTCCTTGATAAGGCGATTTAACTGTGGTGAATTAGCTGTAAAAATGTCTAACAGTTGTTGTGAATTGTATCTCTTTGCAATACCAACTTAAATACATTTAAAAAAAGTTTTCTGATGGATTATTGGTGATTAGGTGTCAGCTGATTGAGTAGCTTTACTTGGACATAGGACATAAGACCTTTTAAAAATTATTTAAGTCCTACAACACTATATTTCAATGTATTTAAGACTTTTAAGGCCTAAAATATAAAAAAAGTTCTTACATTTTACATTTACATTGTCATTTAGCAGACGCTTTTATCCAAAGCGACTTACAAATGAGGACAAGGAAGCAATTTACACAACTATAAGAGCAACAATGAATAAGTACTAAAGGCAAGTTTCAGGTCTGTATAGTCTAAGAAGGGAAGTGTTAGTAGTTTTTTTTTTTTTTTTTTTTTTTTTTGTACAGTTAGTTAGTGTGATATTCAAAGAGGCATTTGCAGATTAGGAAGTGAAGTGGAGACTAAATAGTTGAGTTTTTAGTCGTTTCTTGAAAATAGCGAGTGACTCTGCTGTTCTGATGCAGTTAGGGAGTTCATTCCACCAACTGGGCAGATTGAGCGTGAGCGTGAGCGAAAGTGATTTTTTCCCTCTTTGGGATGGAACCACGAGGCGACGTTCATTCACAGAACGCAAGTTTCTGGAGGGCACATAGATCTGCAGAAGTGAGTGCAGATAAGAAGGTGCTAGGCCAGAAGTCACTTTGTAGGCAAACATCAGAGTTTTGAATTTGATGCGAGCAGCAACTGGCAGCCAGTGCAAACGGACTAGCAGCGGAGTGACATGTGCTCGTTTAGGTTCATTGAAGACAACTCGTGCTGCTGCATTCTGGAGCAGTTGAAGAGGCTTGATAGAGTTAGCTGGAAGCCCAGCTAGTAGAGAGTTGCAGTAATCCAGTTTGGAGAGAACAAGAGCTTGAACAAGGAGTTGAGCTGCATGTTCAGATAAGAAGGGTCGGATCTTTCTGATGTTATAGAGTGCAAATCTGCACGATTGAGCAGTTCTAGAAATGTGGTCAGAGAAGTTTAGTTGGTCATCAATCGTTACTCCAAGGCTTTTCACCATTTTGGATGCCGTAATGGTTGCCCCATCCATCTGGATTGAAAAGTTATGGTGTAGAGTCGGGTTGGCAGAAACTACAAGCATTTCCGTTTTTGCGAGGTTTAGCTGAAGATGATGATCTTTTATCCAGTGTGAAATATCCAACAGGCAGGCTGAGATACGAGCTGGAACCGAGGGATCATCAGGATGAAAAGAGAGGTATAGCTGGGTATCATCAGCATAGCAGTGGTAGGAGAATCCATGTCTCTGGATGACTGGTCCTAGAGATGATGTGTAGATGGAGAAGAGAAGTGGCCCAAGAACAGAGCCTTCTTGAAATTTAAGTCATTTTAAGACTTTTTAAGACCCTGCAGACACCCTAAAAAATAAACACTCTAATCGACAACATTTTTCTATTAAATTAGGAAAACTTGTATTAGTAGTTACAAGATTACAAGTAATTATAGAACTGTATCCAAACACATAACTAGTAGGAGTAAATCCCGAGAGTTTTCGAGTGCTCTCAGTTTTTACCATTGCAGTATACATACATACTGTATAGGAATGTACAGCTTAATTTATACATTAATCCACACGACCATTTGGTGCAGAAACATGATGCATGGATAACATATTTTGTTCTAAATAGCGACTCTGGTGTGCAGGATTGGGAGAGAGTGAGTGGATTAAAGGGAATTTGAGGATTTGTGAAAATGGGAATTGGCACGTTTGGGAATCTAGGAATTGACAGATTTGCAGGGGGCTTTGTGAAAGACACATGGCACATAGAAAGAGATAATGTGGGATGAAAATGAGTGTTGGAAAAGAGAAGGAAAAACGGAAGGAAGAAAAAGAGACACAATGCTGATGGTGTCATAAAATACATACAAAAAAAAACAAACATTGATGAGAATATACACACACATGCTTGCCTATGCAGCTGTTCTGTTAGAATGCAATCTGCTGGAGTTTGCTGATGATGTGCTATGAGGCATTATACACTATGTTTCTAAGTAAGTGTAGGGATTTTTTCTTCATTAACACGAGTTGCAAATTACAAAACACTCTTTCATCACTGGAAGAATTGCTTAAATAAGACAATTACCAATGTAAACACAAAAGGACTACGCTGACTGCCAAAAAGAGGTAAAAACTGAGTGGAAAGGAGCAAAAAGGGCTCTGAGATTGCAAATTACTGCTGATGTCAATAATTTGTTTCTCTGGGCAACTTGGCGGCTGGAACCTTAATTGCGAGAGAAAAACACCTCCTCGCAAATCAGCTCCTGCCATCCTCTGAGAGTATCTGTCCACTTTGCTCTGTCTCAAAAGAAAAAAAGACAAAAAAAAAAAAAAACTGGAAGAGGAGAAGAGAAAAAAAAAAGACAAATGTTGAGGGTTTTTACTTCAGTCTAAAAAGTCAACCACTTATTTGCTTTGTTAACTCTCCATCAATTTATTGCAATTTGTGGTAAACGTATGTCTTGTACTGAAGCATAAGTAATTTCCCAGAACGCTTTAGTCTTTCCAGCTGGCCTCACTTTTAAAGTGAATCAAAGGGTAAACTATTCCTGACAACTCCTGATCCAGAGTGCAGTGGACTGATCATAACTGGGAGAACGCAAGGACGTGTCCTTAGTCAAGGTCTGCTAACACTGCACAGCAGTTCAAAGGCAGAAATCGGCATTTCATACTTACTGTATGGTACTTTGTAGTGTTAAAAAGGTAGTTCAACCACAAGTGGAAATTCCGTAATTCGTTACTCACCCTTATGTCATTTCAAACCTGTACAATATATTTCTTACACAGAACATGAAAAGACATTTTGAATGTTGACTATTTATGTCCATGGTTGAAGTCAGTGTGGTTCAAAAACAACAGAGAACTTGAATTAAGGCAAAAGCATCTTCTTTTTTAGGTGTTCATGTATTGCACAGAAGAAATAAAGTCCAACAGGTTTGGAATGACAGTGAAGTGAAATTAGCAAATGATGACAACTTTTACATTTCATGTACATGTACAATATAGAACAGCATGCATGTGGAAATACATGCTATTCTATAGGTTCCATTACATTGAGTGCAACAGCCAGATTCTAGAAAAAAAGAATATAAGTTTCACAAAAACTGAACAAACCAACAAACAAACTTCAAATGTTGTAATTAAGTCAGCCCCAAACTTCTTCCTATATACACATATTTTAAAACCAATGTACAGTGGACCCTCGTAGGCGTTTTCAAGGTATACCGCGGTTTGGAAAAGTTAAGGTTTTAAAAACCGCCAAAATTTTCTGCTACCGTTCTTAAGGTATGTATAAGATATTTTTATTTACTTTTTTAAATAGTTTTTTTAGGACAACAGTATCTGCAGCAAAAAAGATAGGTGTTTTACTGTTCCAGAATGCTTAAAATGTTTCTCAAAATAAAATATATTGTGTTCAAAGCGGAAAAAAGTTCTTGTTTTTTACCCAGACATTTTTAAAATATATATTTTAGAGCAGTAATCGCAATACCGTCAAACCATGATATTTTATCCAAAATGATCATACTGTCAGAATCTTATACCGACCCATGCCTAGTCCCTGGTTTATCGTGGGAGTTATGTTCTAAAAATAATCCACAATAGGCAAAATCCGAAAGCAGTCCGCTTTATTCATTACAATTATCATAGATAAGGCTATAAAACCCCTCACTTTTATACACTTTTCTCAGACAGGCATTAACATTTTCACACTGTTCTCTCTTGTTTAAACACTCTCAAAGTTCAAACCTTCATAGAAAAATAAGTTCGGTATTATAGAATGAAACCAAAGATCAAAATTGTTGTCAGGTGCAAACATTCATCACTGTCAGCAAAAGGTTCATAAAGCTTTTTAGCTTTTGTGCGGACAATGTTGACAACCAGTGTAATGTTCTCTTTCCTGCAGTCACTAATGCACAAAACTAAAGCAGACTCCGGACACCGGAATGCGCCGCATATATGACAGTTGGAAGTAAACACGGACGTGCACATTCACATGTTATTTAAAATGAAATTATTCAGATAGTGCTCTGTGGCATAGCAGAAATATAAACAGTGTGCTGTGCACTGCAGACTTGCGGTGCCGGTATGCAAATCCGAATACAATAATATTTGCATGCAGCACATCGGGTGTGCAACCCCCTTTACGGTGGTCTTGCTGTGGACAGTTACATCCCTTTTTGCATCTTTGTTGAAACAAACTGCTAGCAATCAAAGATTTATGCTAATTAGGCAAGCTGAATGCATACTCTACTGTACAGGAGGCAGGGAGGAGATTGATTGACAATGGTCTACAGCCAATCAGGATGCAGAACACAATGGGCTGTAGAAAAAAAAAACGCATGTCAAATTGCACAAAAAAAAATCGTCAAAACTGCAAGGTCACGAAAAGGGAACCGCGTAATAGCGAGGGACCACTGTATTTATATTTCCAATTAAATCAAATCCACCTTTCCCTTTTCCCCGATTAAAAGTGTTAATCAAAGTCTTGTTTTTAAACACATGTGATTGACCTCGTATATGATTGGTTTTGTTCAGGATTGATTGATTTAAAAAGGCTTTTCAATCGCTATGAAAAAAAAAATACTTCCAGAAACATGGCAGCTGAAAAAGAGTACGGCACTGTTGCACTCTATTAGATATAACCACAATGCTTTGCTGTGTAGTGTCAGACACTCACCATCTTCTGTGGGCACATAGACGTTGAGGTAGAGACAGTCTTCACTCTGGTTCTGAATGTAGGTGGCAGCCACGTCCAAGCTGTCGGTGAACCACACCGGCAGCATGATCTCGGGCAAAACACCATGAACATTCTGCGGGCAAACCGGGGCAAACTGCGTGGCATTGCGCACTTCTTGCCAAGACCCTGGAGCTTCTGGTGGCTGAAAGCGACGGTCTCCGATTGGCGCTGTGGCATAAGGAACGCCCAGATATTGTTCCACGGGACCCAGAATCTCATTGTTAAGCTCTTTTTTAATCCCACGCAATTTGCCGTAGTTTGTGGTGACTGTAGGATATTTAGTGCCAGGATCGATGCGTTGACATGATGCCAAAGTGATCCACAGTGCCAACCAGAAGAGAGCTATTGTGTGAGTGACCTCTGAATTGTGGGCATAGCCCAAATCCCGTTTACAGGCATGAGGCAAATACATGACTGTCCTGTTTTGTTTTTCGCTGTTTTATTGGCCTCTGATTTAATTGGTAAGGGTGAAGTAAAAAGGACTGCTAGAGTAAGAAATGTGACCCTGTCTGTTCTATTTTGGTTGTTTGAGGAGCAAGAATAGGGAGGACAGGAATGGGGGGCTGTGGAAGGGTTGGGGTGGACGGGGAGCTGAGGTTGTGCTCAGCCCTGGTGAGTTTTTGTGGAAATGCTATAGAGAGTAAAGGTGAGAAGTCTGTTACGTTCCATCTCCCTGAGCCGTCCTCATGGGGTCAGTTGAAGAGAGCACACAGATGACAGCTGATCCTGTAAAGAACAACAAGAAAGGAATGGGTTAGTGATCAGGGGGTCATTTACAAGTTGCTACCCTTTCTAAGTCAAGCATGTGAACTTCAAACATGTTGAAATAGAAATCTTTACATTTGGTCAGTGTCATGGTGTTCTAAATCTGACTTTTAGCATTTTTTATGTCTATACAGTGAACGTTTATAGTTGTACCCTTGTAAAGCTCTGGGTTATCATCCGTCTAAACATTGTTATGCATCCTAGTTGGGAGGTGAGAATGATTGGTAACAATACATCTTAATAAGATATTGCAATATAAAAATGTGACAACATACACTCAAAAATATAACTTGTTGAATCAACATGATATAATCGTAGCACCCATTGTGCATCTAAACAAATCAAGTAAACTTAAACTGCTTAGAATGTGTTATATGAACACAATATAAACTTGTAATTTCAACGTGGTTCTAATAGGTCTGTGTAACTTCTTTGTCGCTAATTGAATTATAATATTTAGGTTGTGTTTATTTTTATTCAATCAATGTCAGTAAAACACTTCAACTCAACACGGTAATATCAACAAGTCTTGTCCATGTATGGTTATTAAAATCTATTTTATTGCTTTAATTAGATTTGTCTTAGTTGGCAGCATTGAAATTCTTAACTTGCAACCAACTCGCTGTGATTACACCAAATTACCAGTAGGTATAATGCCTCACATCCTCACAATATATATCAAGGTATCTTTTTAGCAGAAAAACTAACATTTATACATTAAACACAAATAAACATAAAATTATAACAAGAGCATTTGTAAATAACTTTTAAATAGTAACACGGAAGAAAACAACGGTATGAAATACCAATTACAAAAAAAAAAAAAGATGAACTGAGCATTAATGATTGTTCCACTCAGAGCTTACTTGCTCTAGCACCCTATTTAAAGAAACAGTGTTATAAATGCTGACTAGCAGAGCTTCTGTCCAGCTACAACTGTGCATCTTCTTCATTCAATCACTACATCAGTCTTGCTTAAGCTCACGCACCAGTTTTCATGCCCCAGTAGCTTGTTTGAAGGGAACAGAGCAAAAATTAAATCATCAACAAGCAAAAAGTGCATTGTGGAACACTACAACTGCAGAATCCCAAAAGTTTAGTCTGTTAAGCTAAGCATGCACAGTGACTTCTTCTTATAAGGTTTTACTGGTGGTGTGCGAATCAGCTTATAAGTGCATACCGCCACCTACTGTGATGGAGGCGCACTGTAACTCACCAGTAAGAGTCGTTCATATGAAGAGCCTAAATCTCATTAAATCAACAAGTTCTCATCTAATTCATTTAATTATTTCTTCATTTAGTTTCAAACAACTAGAATTAATTATTTAACAGAACTAACAGAACTCCTTTCATTCTTTTCCAGAAGACAAATTTGTATTTTGCGAATCAAGCAAGTGGTTTGCATTTTTTGAGTGTATAATTTATAATACATATGATTTATAATACAGATTATCCAAGATAACTTATTGTATTAATAGGGTATAGTTCACTCAAAATTGCAAATTTTGTCATTGTGTGCAATTTTTCATCCTTCTTCCAAACACATGAGAATATTTTTTATGAAATCTAAAACTTCCCCCACAGTATCAAAAATAAAATCAAACAAGCAAACAAACAAACAAATAGGCATGCAATCATGAAAATAAACACATACAAGTATTGTTTCAAAAAACAATCAAGCCATTAGGCTTCATATGATGAAAAATTAAAACACACATGGTACGGTAAACACAAACATTTTAAATATGTAAAACTTCAAAACAGAGTGAGTATTCCCATCAGGGTTTTTTACTTAGTCCTGGGTTTTTAACACTATGAACACCTATTTTTCCAACCCAGAATAAAAAAGCATGCCAAACAGGTAGTTTAGTAGTGACCCTGCAGGCATAGGTCTTCAACATGATGTCATATTGACGTTGTGCCCCAATGTACCCCAACGTTGTGGGGACGTTGGATTTTGTTTGGAAATGAAAATCGGGTTTGACATCAGAACTCAACGTCAGGCCGATGTCAATATCCAATTTCAAACCTAAAATCAACCTAAAATAAACTAAATATCAACGTCTACTCAGGGTTCACCTTGATGCTGTGTGGACGTTACCACCATCAGACATTAGATTTTGGTCACTTTCCAAAAACAACCTAAAATCAGCCAAATATCAACGTTCTCCTTAGATGCTGGCCAGACATTGAATTTTGTCACCTGACGTTATGACCTAAACCTAACCTAATGATGTTGTGTGCCTGCTGGGTAGGTTGGCATGTGTATTTATTATTATTATTATTATTATTTTACCCAGAGCTGGCTTATTGCCACTTTTATGGTGCTCCTTCCACACAGCGGTGCACAGCATGTGCAGCATGGAATTATGCAGTGTAAGTAAGAATGTTACAGTTAGATGTTTAGCAACCCACAAGCTATGCGTCTCACATTATTTTGGTTTGGACAGTCATTGTAAACATTACTGAATTAGTTTTAATGTAAATATTGATAAATTAGCTTAGTTTTTAAGGAGGAAGATACATAAAAAATGCTATGGTTTGATTCTTTCCTGCTTTCAAAAGTCCATTTAGGAAGATTAAACAGAAGTCCCCAACATATTATGTGAGAATGTGCGTGAGTATATTATGTGAGTATGTATGCATCTAGTATGACAATGACACTGCAAATATATAAATAACATTTTTAAATTGTAAAACAACAGTAATATGTAGAATTAATTTACCCCAGCTAAATTATTATCAGTGTGAAATATAAAGCAACCATGAGTTAACCATTTCAAAAAAATCACATCAAATAACTGATCAGTAGTTAAATGTTTGAACAAAAAATATCCATGTGAATGTCATATTCAAGAGAATTCTACAGTATGTCTGCAAGAATTCATTGTAAGCAATACAACTTTGCATCTTGTCATGATGGTGAGCTACTCATATGTATGTGAATCATCCTATCAAGGGAGAATTTTCATGAGGGTTTTAACCTTTTAACCTTTTAGTTTCCCTGCCTAAAACTGTAATGACAAAACTAAATTGCATTTGAGACAGAAAAGTAAAAAAAAAAAAGTGGAAATGAAAAATACCATAAGACTTCCCATGAAATATTAATGCTTTTCAACATTTATATGTTGCTTAAAAATTCAATGACTCAGCAGCTCTCGCAGCTCCCGTTGGGTTCTACATTTAAACCCTGGAAGAAAGCAATACTGCAGGCAAATGACAGCCTAGATGACTCGTTCAGGGCATTAGGAGAATCATAAACACAATACGACAGCAACAGGGAGACAGTGATGGAAAGGCAAACATCTCAAAACTCCCACACAAAGAGCCTCTATCAGTCACTTGTGACTAACAAACTAAAAATAGATGTTTTAGCTCCGAGATCCTGAATGAAATCATCTGTGCGGATATGAAGTCTAATTAAGAACTGACGCATTTCACCGTGAACACATCTTTTGTTTTTTAAAGCCTCTAATCGCCTGAGAGAGCTGACTGATGCTTTAAAACTTTGATGTTCATTTCAAATGGTGTTAGCATTTAGCCATGAGCGTCTAGCTCAGACGCTTAAGCACGTTAACGGTTAGCTAAAACAGAGGAGAGAGAAAGATTTATATGATGCGAATGGATTTGATGTGATTTTAGAGTTGAAGTATGGACAAAACGGAGGGCAAAAGGTCAAGCGTAAGCAGTGAACTTTAAAAACTAATGGATAAAGAGGTATTAAATCTCAGCTCTCCAGATGATGGCAGAGTCAGATATATATCACTAAAGGACACAAACAGGTGCAGACCAGAAACTGCAACACACTACAAAAAGGTTGATAAACAGATGATCTGATAATAACTGAGGGTTTTATGTTTAGGTTTAACTTCAGCATCATCAAAAACACATCATTTTGTGGCAAATGTTGTAAGACAACTGTCAAACAAATTAAGATGACATTTTTTAACATAGCATTGAATATAAATTAGGGTTTGTACCATCTCATTTTTATTTTTAAGTATACAGCCATTCAAATTTCTGAACTTCTAACATTGTACTTCTCCACATGTGATCGTTCTTTCTATGGTCTTAACAGTCGTCTTCACTCATTTGTGCCCTATGACCAGGCTTTCTCTTCTCTGGCCTTGAGGCTCTGGAACTCTCCTCACTATGACATCATTTAGATTGTTTAAATTATCCTTGAAAACGCACTAATTTATACTCGCCTAATCATGAGGTGTGTATTTTTAGTATGTATTTATGGATATTGAGTGTTTTATTTTAAATGTTTTTTTTTTATTGTCCTACAAAGCTGTTTTTTATTCCTTATTCTTTTTGTGTGAAGCGCTTTGCGAATTAAGTTGTAAAAGTTTTAAAGTTTAAATTTTGTTAAAATATATTATTATTATCATCTAATAAAATCAAAATTTGTTTAATTTATAGTATACAGTTTATTTGGTCACTGAAAACCCAGGAATGCTTTTAATTAGACTTCTGTAAATGAAAATGGTTAAAGTAAAATTTGACAAATGAAATATTCCTGGAATTATTGTACTTTAACAAAACGTCCAGATGCCCAATGTGTTTTTAAACTGTAATACTCAATATTCATTGAGAATTACCCTGACATAATTTCCTGTAGCTCCAGAGTGATTATACTCATTA